TTATTACAGCCTTTCACATACAGGACCGCCCACAGGGAGGTATAAAACAACCAATCACATATCAGTTACATCCCACATATTCCCTCCCCTTGTCCTGAGAGGAAACTCAATTACACATACAGTTAAAACATACTTTTTACCCAACTTTCATAACTTTAAAACCATACATCACATTCACATAAAATTACACATTCACAATCAATCCACGCAGGGGAACAACATATTAAAAAATGGCATGAATCCGACCAGGGGTTCAAAAGTTAGTAAAAGTATCTTTTGGGCCCTGGCTGGCACATGGCTATCTGGCTCAAACAGGTTTTACAGAGCCCTCTATCCTGGAGACAAGTAATCCAATTATCCAGGGATAGAGGCAGACTCCATTGAGCACATGGTTGCAAAAAGACATAAAACACTTTAAAATACATAAAGTCACCTTTTACACATAACACACAGACATTTCACATATCCCCAGATAGCTGGGATCTGAGCGCACAAAACTACTGAAAAGCGCTCAGATCCTATTCACACAGTTCAATTGCCATGGAGCCGAAGTCTTTAACTACACGAATGGGCTCCATGGCATAGCTATCTGGGTTAACACATTCACATAAAGTCTGGTCCATAGTCCAAAGGCAAGAGGCGGGCAAGCAGCCCCCTCCAAGGACACGTGGCGAGGCAGGTTTCGCCACAGTCGGCAACATAAAAAGTTGTGCAATAACACGTGATGTGCAAGTCTGCAGTGGTGTGCCAAAACTGATGTACGGGTAGGCCTGCAAATAAAAGAGGGCAATAAGGATAAGGATACGTTGAAACACACTTTATTACACATAACTTATAAAACAAGATTCATGAAGGCTTTCGTCAACTCCTTTCTCAGTTTAAGGAATATACGTGTAAAACACTGAAGAATTCCAACGTCCTAGTGTTTTAATAATATGAACTGGATTATAAACACTGCATATGGTGTTGGCAGATAGGACAGCTTGAAATAGTGTTCTGCCTTGAGAAAGTAACAGGGTTGGGCCATGATTAGATTGTGGAAATCTGGTGTTCTGGCTGGGTATCTGCTGGCAGTCGGATGGAGTAGAAAGAAGTTCTGCAAACGTCAACAAGATATAGCATCAGCAGCCGAGTTATTGCACCCTGGGTTATGCTCACAGACAGGTGGCCGCCAGCCATGTCCATCTGTGAAATAATTTCATGATGGTCAACACAGAAGACCAACCTTTGTTTATTATTTTGCAAGCTTCCATATTGTCAGAGTAACATTTCACCACCATACCTGACCATAGCTTTCCCCACATATATGCTGCTGCCACGATATGGTTAATCTCAAATAAGGCATGTCTCCTGAAAGGAGGGTAACCCAACACTCTCAATAGACTTCATGTGTCTAAACCCAAAGTGGTCATAAATAGCTGCAAATCCTGTGTGGGCAGTAGTGTCAGTCTAGAAAACTAGGGATTGATCAAACAGAGGGGGAATAAATTTAGTAATTCCATTCCAATGGGAAAGAAATTCTTGCCACATGGTTAAATCGGCCTTAGCAGATGGGTCTAGTAAAATTCTACCGTCATCTTGAAGGTCTGGTTGGAGGCAAAGCAATCTGGATATGAAGGAACCTTTCTAATTCTTTGCAAATACGCAGAAGTTTATCGTCAGGGAGACAGGACTGCATTATAGTGGAGTCCAAGATCATCCCCAAAAATATCAATCTGGTATCGGAGCCAATGGTCTTGTCAGGAGAAAGTGTGACCCTCAGTGTAGAGAACAGTTCTGTGGTGCTAAGAATGCTCTGGGGAGTGTTACAACTATCTTCTACCAACAAAAAATCCAAATAATGGATCACAGTGGGACAACTGGCAACACTGAGAAGTTAGCAGAGCGTCTCAGCGAAGACATCAAAACGTTTGGGCTTGCTTTTTGCCTCAAACATAAGCCTTGTAGGAAAATACTTTTTTTTTTTAAATGAAATCATTATTTTTCTTCTTTAAAAAAAATAAAAAAAAGAAGGTAACAAACATCTCAAAATAACAATATTATACAAAATGAAGAAAAAAAACCATAAATATGTTAACTTACAAATCTCGTTAGTGTTTTTGTTATAAAGGTACAATTTGGCCTGTTTGACAATTTAAGTTATATCAAGTCAAATGTCCTGAGAATGTATAAAATAATTATTTATCTATAGTATAACCCAAAATCTCTTTATAATTAGTGCATCATAGCAGCTTAAAAGGAAAAAAATAAAAATAAAAGGAGAACCATAAGACAAAAAAGATAACAAAAAACACAGAACCGATTGTGCTTAATAAATTGATTGATCACTACTAAATTAAAAAGTGAGGCACAACTCCAGGGTCATAGTTAACATTAATCAATGTAAATGTCAAAATCATGGAATTTACTATGTTAATATAATTAAAATTTTTGTTATTTGCGAATGTAGATGACATATAAATTATGCAACCCTAAAGCATAAAATGTGGTTACACAAGAGTAGCTCTATATGAAGACCTATAATTTATTTAACCATAATATCCATATTTTCATATATTTGTGTACTTGACCATCGGCCCCCCAATAACTCCTCCATAGATCTTCTACTTTATTTAACCATTTCTCCAGAGTAGTTTTATTTTGTTTGTTTTTTCAAAACCAGACAGGGCTTGACAAATTTGCTTTCAATCTAGGAGCCAGTTTTTTCCAGTTACAAAAATACAATTCTATACTCGCCAGAACTACTACAGCTTAATGTAGTGGTCTGGTGTCTATAGATTGTCCCTGCAGGCTTTTCAAAGTAAAGTGTTTACATTGCTGCCTAGTAACACCTTTGGTGACCGTCACTGGAATTCTCTATTGATTACTACCTGTGTCTTTAAGTCCACCTGTGTTATCTTTATTTATAAAATATTTTACCAGGAAGGATACATTGATATTTCTCTCGTTTTCAAGTACGTCCTGGGTGCACAAAACATTGCATTGATACAATAGGGTACAATAAAATACAAAAACAATATTAATAAACCATGTATACAAAATTTAACCTAGAACAGGTAGGAAATATATAATCAACCATGATAGGTGCATTCTGTTGTGAGATATGTAGAGAGGGATCTCTTAAAGGACTTTAGCCTTAGGGAAGATTTGAAAGTGTGTGGGAGGTCATTCCAAAATTGCGGTGCTCTGTAGGAAAAAGAGGATTAAACTGCTTTCTTTTTGTATTGAGTTGGACTAAATAAAGTGCTGGTACTGGATCGGAGGTTATAGGAGGTGGGAACAGCTTGGGAGAGTATTCCAGAAAAGCTCTTAAACATAAGGCTTGAAAGATGAATGGTGCATCTGGAATCCAGCAACAGCCAGTTTGGTTCTTTTAGCATGTCACAATGGTGGGTCCTGTAATTGATTTCTAGCACAAATCGTCAGAACGAGTTATACAGTTTATTAAGTTTATTAATGTAGGTTTGCGGTGCAGGAGCATATACTACATCCCCATATTCAATGATTGGCATCATCATTTGCTGTACAATCTTTTCCTTTACTGTAGGACTTAGGCATGATTTGTTTCTGTACAGGGCACCTAGTTTTGGATAAAGTTCAGATGCAAGTTTTTCTAAATGGAGGCAAAAAGATAGATTGGGGTCTAACAACATACCCAAGTATTTGAAAGAGTGGAATGCGGTCAGTGTGCTATTTGAATTTGTTTTTAGGCATAGATAGAAATTTTGTAATCTGTGTAATTTAGGTACTGTTCTAAAGATCACTTTGTAATTTGTGTAATTTAGGTACTGTTCCAAAGATCATTGTGACAGTTTTGCCAGTGTTTAGGAAGAGTTTGTTTTTTTGCGATCCACTTTTCTACCTCTGTGAACTGGTCTTGGAGCACAGCCTCAAGCTGCGTTAGATCAGATTTGCTTGCATAGATTACTGTGTCGTCTGTGTACATGTATACATGTGAGGATTTTACAGACATTAGGCAGATCATTTATAAATAATGTGAAGAGTAGGGGATGGAGAATGGAACCTTGGGGAACACCACACATGACTGGGAGAGGGAGTCGCTGTCAGAAATGGATCGATCCATTTTGTGATCGACCCGTTACATATGATCAAAACCAGGTTAGCGGACGATCACCAGTTTTTTTAGTTTGTGCAGTAGAATGTTGTGGTCTATTGTGTCAAAGGCCTTTGCAAAATCAAGGAAAATAGCTCCAGTTAGGTCTCCTTGTTTCATGCCAGTTTGGATGTCATTGCAAACTTTTTAGAGAGCAGTTGTAGTGGAGTGATTCGGGCGAGAACCTGGTTGATCAGGGGTCAGATAGATTGTTGGTAATACTCACATAGTTGCGTATGTACACATTTTTCTAAGATTTTGGACAATACTGTGAACAGTAATATTGGGCGATAGTTAGAAACCAAAGTAATGTCACTGATTTTATGGATAGGCACTATTCTCGCAGTCTTCCAAAGTTTGGGTATGTATCTAGACACCAAGGATTCGTTAATTAGGGTTGTGACAGCTTTAGCAATTGCCAGCGCACTGAGCTTCAACAGCATTGCTGGGATTTAATCAGATCCAGACTGTTTTTTCATTTTTAGATTATTAAGGTGTTTCTTAATAACACTAATAGGTACAGGTCTAAAATTGAACTTGTCTCTCTTGAGTTTTTGCAAAATTAGTGGAGCCTGATCCACATTTGTAGTTTCAGGATGCGTGTCATTTATTAGCTTGGCAATCAGGGTGGTGGAGCATCTGACAAAATAATTGTTAAAGGCATTTGCTACTTCTAAGGGAAGTTGCAGGATTTGTTGTCCACTTTGACTATTTATTATGTATTTAATTTATTTATTTGTTATTTATGACTTTTCAAAAGTTTCTAGGGTTTGAGATGTTTTTGTTCAGATTTTCACAGAAATATTGGGCCTTGGCCAATTTTGTTTGTTTAGTGCATATATTTTTAGTGCATATATTTTTGCCATTGTCTATATGCACAGTGATTGCTCATAGAGCCAGTACGCTTGAACTTTGACCACAATGAGTCCTGAAACTGGTACATTTGAATAAGTTCAGCTATGATCCAAGTCATATGTGCCCCTTTTTACTCTCACCTTATGCAACGGGGCATGCAAATTCCAAACCTGTAGGAGTTCGGACTGAAAGAATTCAACTGCACAGTCTAGATTTGGGATTACGTTACAATTATGTCATTTAGAAAGTACTCAAGATTACATTTTTTTAAATGACCTGGTGATTTTAACCTTGGTAGAGGATTTAGTAGCCTTTATTATGTGCACGCAGTACACTAAGCAGTGGTCACTGAAACTGTTAGGGAGAACAACTGCCTCCTGGACTCTTATCAGGAGAAGTGGAGAAAATCCAATCAAGCAGGGTTTGGTTATGGCTTTTAATGTTAATGCGAGTTGGGGAGGAGATTAATTGCTTTAGCTGCAAAGTCTTAAAATGCGAGCAAGAACTCTTTTTGGGTTTTGAGCTATGGTTTCACTAAGGAGATAGGCTATGTCAGAATGCACAGGGGAGCTGTGTAACAATGATTGCATTGCTGCACGGGATCTCAATTGTGCCAGAAAGGAAATCAAAGGTGGCAGGAGAGCTAAAGTTTTGTAAGGGGGTGAACTTTATGGGATTGTCAACATAAATGACTATGCTCTGTCATTTCTATGGCATGAATACCCAGATATTGCAATGGCAGAGTCGGGTATTATTGCAGTTAGCCACGATTCAGAGAGCACAATGATTTTGGGCTTGTAATGTAAACACCATGCTTGCAGTGCATCGATTTTTGGTAGTAAGCTGCGGATATTACAGTGCACAAAGGAGAGGCCTTTTTTAGCTGGAAGGCTAGGAATGTAATCTGTTGGGGGACCAGGGTTAAACTCTACATAGGAATTTGGACATTATCTTTGTTTGGGAGTATTGCAATTGTAGGGTTTTATACTTTTGTGGGGTGGGGGTTGGAGGGCTTGATTTCAACAATCTCCATCAGCACTCAGCAGATAAATCTTGCCAATTGGCTGCTCGTTATTCAGCTATATAACACTGCCTTTCCCTGAGGGCAGTGTCAGTTCATTGTTTCCTTTTTCCTGTTCCTGTAGCTTAAAAGTTCCATGTCATTTAGAAAGTACTCAAGATTACATTTTTTTAAATGGCCTGGTGATTTTAACCTTGGGAGAGGATTTAGTAGCCTTTATTTTGTGCACCCCTGCTTCTGGATCTTCGTTATTGCCTGTTCGCTGCCTGCCCTGACCTTTGGAACAGACTACCTGTATTTGCCCTTGTCTGTTTCCTCGTACCCAGTTAATGTTCATGCCAAGCCCCATGCTCAGATTCACAGCCCAGGTAGCTTCTTACCTAATTACCGTGGGTTTTGTTGATCTGCAAGGGTGAGCAAACACCTCTGCACTTCGACTCCAACCAAGGTAAGACCGTTGCATAATGAACCGACCTTCATGGAGTCCGCAGAGATGTGCAAGATGCTTACCCAACAAGTGTCCAGCCTGGACCAGACTGTTTCGTAGCTGCAGCAAGAAGTTCAGTTTCTTAAAGGCACAGTACGCCCAGCCCCGGAACCTGCATATTCTGAGCCTTTTGTTATGCCAGAGAGATTCAACTGTAGCCGTGCATCCTTCCAGTGCTTTAAGGTGGATTGTGAAGTTATATTGGATTTAAAGCCTCGGACATATGCCAGTGACTTTATCATGGTCCGTGCGGCTATCAACCTGCTGTCTGGATGGATCAAGGGCACACCAGATGTTGCACCCCCCAAGAGTGCTGTCCTCGACACCTGGAGGTCCTTCATGACTGCAATGGACTTGCAGTGCACAAATTCTAGAAAATCTGCTCCACGTTTCATAGGATCCAAGATTCCAAGAGACAGGAAGCATGCCCTCCTGTCTCTGAGCCACTTCTGAACTTACGGTTCTAGGCCTATTTACCTGGCCTTGTCTGCAGCACTAGAGGGCTGGACTTCTCTTTTGATTACTATTGGTCTGTTTAAGTCCACCTGTGGCATCTTGCCAATTGGCAGTGTCAGTTCATTGTTTCCTGTTCCTGTTGCTTAAGACTGACTTGGCTTGTGACCCTTCTTCTGGATCTTCGTTATTGCCTGTTCGCTGCCTGCCCTGACCTTTGGAACAAACTCCCTGTATTTGCCCTTGTCTGTTTCCTCGTACCCAGTTATTGTTTCTGCCAAGCCCCCGTGCACAGATTCACAGCCCAGGTAGCTTCTTATCTGGTTACAGTGGGTTGTGTTTATCTGCAATGGTGAGCAAACATCTCTGCACTACCAACTCCAACCAAGGTAACACCTTTAAACATTCAGCGTCTTCTCGCTCTGCATGGAGGTGCTGAATGTTCCCCATAGAGATGCATTGATTTATTATATCTCTATGAAGAGATTGATAATCTTAGCTATGGAGGCTGGCCAGCGGCAGCAAGACTGGCATAGCGTTGGAAAAAAGATGAGTAAAAACACCATTACCATGCGATCAGAGGGGGCTGGTGACTTAAAAGTACATCCACCCAGACAGACACGACACACCCCCATGACAGACAGACACACCCCCCCCGACAGACACAGATACACACACCCAAACAGATACACACCCAAACAGATACACACACACACACACACACCCAAACAGATGCACACACACACCCAGATACGCACTGTTACGGCTCCCCTGGTAGGAGAGGGAGTTAATGACGTATAGGACGTTCCCTTCCCAAATGCAGAGGTAGCCACTGAGCGCTCCAAACTGCCGAACAGCAATCACACGAACCATCCGACCTCTCAAACTGCCGAACAGCAATCATACGAACCAGTCAGTCTCCCAAACAACCGAACAAGCGTAATCCATACGAATAATCCCCCCCAATGACGAGACAAAGCTCCGTATTGAGGGTCAGCAGGAATCGGGTTTAATGTGGGCTACCTGCCCGGTGTTTATGCAAGTCTCCCACCTGGTGGACACTACCCGTGGGGACCAAATGGGAGACTGTGACAAGGACATTACATTGAGCAATCAGAATGCTACACATGTAGCCCTTCCCCTTTAATTACCCAAGACCCTCTGCTCTGCCCGGGAGATAATTGTGAAGTAATTCAATTATCTCCCTGGACAAAGACCAACGCCATTTTAGGTGACAATGACAAAAATGCATAAAAATACATAACTTTTCAATATTGTTATATAACACATGCATTCAACGGGTCCCCAGATAGCTGGGATCTGAGCGCTCAAAAGTACCGAACAGCGCTCAGATCCTATGCACACAGTCCAATCGCCGTGGAGTCAAAGTGTTCACAAAGTCTGTTGTCCATACGAATGTGCTCCACTGGATGTCTATCTGGGGTATGGCTTATTCGTGAACAAAAGTACGTTAGTGGGTTTTCTACCGAAAGAGAAGGGAGGTCGGCGGCTTCAGCGGTGTTCGTGCCATATAGTGTCCGTTTTGAGTTCCATGAGTTTGTCGTCGAACACCGCTGAGCGTTCGTGGATTTAAAATGGCCGCGACCTCATGTTCGGGATACGAATGGTGGCCACCCAGTTACAGGCACCAATTAAGAGGTGTCTGCGGTTAACCTCAACGTTCTAATTGGGCCAAGAGGTTAACCAGCAGCACATTTCTCTACTGGGTGGCCGGCCGTTTGGGAGTTTTGTCTGGTAGTTTCAGGGGAAGTATATAGAGTCCACACGAACGGGGAAAACACGAATCAAGCAAACAAATGAATAATAAGTCCCTGTAAGTCCAAGACAGAGGGATCTGTCTCACGCACCCAGACACAACACACACACCCAGACTGACAGACCGACGCACACACTGACATACACACTCACACAATCACAAACAGACAAATACACGTTGACAGTCACAAAGTTTTATTTGATACACTCAAATGGATACACACACACACACACAAAGATTCATAGTTACACACAGACAGACAGGCATAACAGATATACACAAATAATAAAAAGAAAATACATATTTTTAGCCTGGGGTCCAGTGGGAATAGGCAAGAGTAAATGACAAATAGGTTGGCTGCGGCTGATGGGAGCAGATGCTGCTGTTCCAGACTCCCCCCTCCTCCTTTCTCCTCAGCCTCATGCAGATCTCTGTGCGCCAGGAGGAAGTGTAATTACTTCCTCCTGGCGCGCAGGGGAAAGGGCTTGCAGCCGGCTCTGCGTAAAGGGGCGGGCTGGAGGCTGGCTCTGAGGACAGCGGCCGGCTCTGAGGACAGCGGGCGGGCCAGCACTGAGAACAGCGGCTTGGCCGCTTTGCGCAATTTGGGTGGGCGGGCTTGGAGGAATGCGGGTGGGCTGCAAGCTGGCAGTCTTTAAATGCTGTCCTTCAAGCTTGCAATTCCCCTGCGGGAGGAGGGAGGGAACGGGCCGACCAATTCTAGGCGCTAGGGCAAAATTCTTAGTCGCCACAGCAACCTGGCACCTGGGATTTGTCGAGCTCTGAAACCAGGTATCAGATAGCTTAATCTAGAAGAAGATTTAAAAGTCTTTGCTGTGTCTTGAAAAACCCTAGACCATCCTAAGAAAATTTGCGATGGGGTAAGGGTGCGAGTAATAGGCAAATATAATTGTATATAACCCAAAGCTGTTGTAAGATTGGACAGTACCACCATATATGTTCCAGACTGCCTTCAGCTGCATTGCATCACCAACATAGATTACAATTATTAGGAAATATTAAATGCAATGCTGAAGGTTACGATACCATTGTGTGACTCGTTTATAAAAATAAAGTTCCCTTTTTGCCTGACTACGTGTCGAGGGCATAACGTTCTGAAAAATATATGACAAATCCCTCCCAGTTAACTGAATATGTAATGACGCTGCAGAAGTTCCTGAACCAGGGGGACAGCTCTACTCCTAAGAGCCCTTTTATAATATAGAACATATTTTAGAAAGTGATTGAGCGAGCTGTCTTGGAAGATGGCATGGTTGCTCAAATATAGTCTATTCTCTATGCCTCCACCGGGGCAATATTTCCTTCCTAAGAAATTGCATATAACTCAAAAGTGTAGGACATTTGGTGGGGCCTAAAAGCAATGCTAAGGTAGATATAGGGTCCTGGTTAAGGCATATCTAGGAATTACCTGTCCGAAGGATCATTGATGTCCTTGGCCATCTTGAAAGTCAGGATTAGGTGTAATAAGATATGTGATATACCTGGGGACAATGACCAGATATATCTATACTTTTTCCATGTTTGGAGCGTTTTCGTAATTAGAGGGTGAGAAGAGGGACTAATGTTATAAATAGTAGTAGTAGACCAAGACCCAGCCCCCCAAATATACATGGTAAAAAGGGATTTGAGCTTCACAATCGTGATGACAATGATCGTGGAACATAAATAGGCAGTGTCTGGAACATGTATAATAGTCTAGGAAATTTTGTAAAATATTAATATGGCCTGTGAAGGAAAAGTAAAGGAAATTCCATTTGGAAATGTCCAATTTAATAGAAGGGGTAAGTAATTCAACTTTACCATATTGGATAGTTAGGGGGGTAATTTTTACACCTAAATATTTTATTCCATTTGTAGCCCAGCGAAATTGATATGATTGGAGCACTAATACTTCAACATATGTGGAACAGACACTCCCGTCATTTCATGACGTTAATTCTAACGTTTGATATGGAGCTAGATTTGTCCATTTTGGCTATCATATGGGGCAATGAACTAATAGGTTCAGTAATTGAAAGGAGAATGTCATCTACAAAATCACAATCCTTCACCTCACCTCTTGAATAAGAATACCATTTAATCTTTGATTTTGTTGTATGGCTCGGAGGAAGGGCTCCATAACTATTGAAAATAATATAGGGGAAAGAGGGCAACCCTGCCTAGTTCCGTTTCCTATGCTAAATGAGTTAAAGTTTTGGCCATTAACCATTATGCTAGCTGTTGGCCCATGGTAGAGTAATCAGACCCAATGTCGAACTCTTGTCCCTTTTCGGTGTCTGTAGCTAAGAAGACATTAAGAGGGTTGGTGGTATTGTCCCAAGTTTGTCTTACTGGGACATAGTCAGCTTGATCAGAGTGGACTAGTCCAGGCAATAGGGGCTTGAGACGAAGGGACAACATTTTAGCAAAATGTTTAAGGTCAGTATTAATCTGTAATATTTGCCACATTGAATATGATCCTTGCCCGGTTTAGGAATAAGTGTAACTGATGCATGTAAGTCTAATGAATTAAATGTCTTAGGAAATGAGGGGCCAAAAGTTCTGTAAATATTCTATAATAGCTGGCCCTGGGCTTTTCCCAGTTGGACAGGAGTTCAATGCTTTAGTGAATTCTAAGTTAAAGGGACCCTATAGTCACCAGAACTACAGCTTATTGCATTTGTTTTGGTGAGTAGAAAGCCTTCAGGCCTTTTGCTGTAAGCACTGTCTTTTCAGAGAAAATGCAGTGTTTACATTACAGCCTAGTGATAACTTCACTGGCATCTCCTCAGATGGCTGTTATGCCTCGTTTCCACTGAGCGGATCGGTTCGGGTCGGTACAGTTTGGAAGGTTTAGAATGGTCCAGCCTATTCTGGTAGGCGTTTCCACTGCAAGTCAGACCTTCAGGGGTCATGCGGGGTTTAGAAAAAATGCTCTCCCTTTCCACCAATCAATGGATTGTATAGTAGCTCCGCCCTAACCGTACCGTACCATTTCCTATGGCCCTACATCTGAAGCAGGACCCTGAATGGTGCAGTACGGTTCGGTTGTATGGACCACTTTCATAATGGAAACACTCAAAATAGCGAAATGAACCAATCCGCTCAGTGGAAACGAAGCATAAGAGATCCTTCCTGGGTCATGGCTGCCTAAAATGCAACCAAACATTCAGTATCTCCTCCGTCTGCATGCAGACACTGAACTTTCCTCATAGAGATTTATTGATTCAATTAATCTATATGAGGAGATGCTGATTGGTAAGAGTAAATGAAGTAAAGTATCTTCCAAACTTCAGTCAGTTTGAATCATGCTGGCTCTGCCCCTGATCTGCCTCTTTGTCATTCTCAGCCACAGGAAGCACTGTTATTGGATCAGGCTACCACTTCTGATGATGTCAGCAGACTGCTTGTTTTTCTGAGTCTTACAGCATGCAGAGTTACAGCTTCAGGCTTGAATACAGTAAGATTTTGTTATATTTATGGAGGCATGAGGGGCCCAGGGGGGCTAGATGGTTTTAACCCTATAGGGTTAGGAATACATGTTTGTGTTCCTGACCCTATAGTGATCCTTTAATTAAATGTTCCTCTAAAATAGTAACTGTATCTGCTGGTATCTTATGAATCAGATTATTTCTGATATAATCATTAACCAGGTCATCCAGTGTTGAATGCTATGGAAGATAATAGAGATTTTGGTAATAAGAGTGAAATGACTGAGCTATAGAGTGTGTAGTAAAATGTGATGTACTGTCACTATCGGTTATTTTCGCTATGTAGGCAGTGTGGCGTTTATGTTGAAGTGCCTTAGCCAATAATTTGCCACATTTATTGCCATGTGAGTAGAAAGTTCCCCTAGTTAGCTATATAAAATGATGGGCTTGTATATTGAGTAAACTTTATAACTCTATTCGGAGTGCTGTTAAGCGTTGATAAAGTTCCGCTGAGGGTTGGGGAAAATAATAATTATCTCTCCACTCGATACCATGAATATGCCACAAAGAAGGATGGATAGCGAGCAACTTAAAAGCATTGGAAATGTCGGTTTGACGGAGCCGTGTGGCGTTACCTGCTTTCAAGATTGCCTGTATAGAACTATCCACGGTAGCATAGCGGAGAGAAAATTCTGAGGACAGGATCAGAAAATATGAACTTGGTGTGAGTGAGGAATGAGGAGCCGAGAGGTCAAGGATCATGCCTTTTTTATTGGAATATTTGCTAATGGCAATGCCAATGGGATTTGTTCGCCAAGAAGAAAAGGGGGGGTGGGGAAAGAACCCAACATGAAACCTTGGTGGATTTCTTTGACAATCGGATTGTCAACTATGAGGGAATCATTGGCAGCGGACAAGAGATTGGGGCATTCTAGTGTGGCTACAAGTGCCACAATACCAGTATGTAAATCATACTCATAGCAAACAGCGATAGTGAAGCTCTGCATTTAACATCCTGCAGAAACTCACACAACTCCCAGGTACTGACTGAAGTTTGGAAGATACTTTACTTCATTTACTCTTACATTGCTACTATATTATCATGTGTTACTATGGAATTGTTATCAATTATACCTGTAATTTGCCACTGTAATTTTCTGTGCATGCAGTTTTTATCATTGTCATTTAATGTTTCTGACCAATATTTTATGTACACAGTTATTAATATTTTGAGTGATAGAATTTGGTTGCTAAACTTTTCAATTGTATACAACACATGGCTACTCAAGCCTGCAAAATGCCTTCAGAACAGTTCCTTATCCAACTGGCTCCAGTTGGTTCGTATGTTAAATTGAGCTAGAGTTACATAGACTGAAAAGAGACATGTTTCCATCAAGTTCAGCCTTTCTCACATTTGTTTTTTGCTGTTGATCCAAAAGAACGCAAAAAAACCCAGTTTGAAGTAGGGATAGACCAATTATCGGTTTGGCCGATATTCTGGATTTTAGCAAATATTGGTATCGACCTATTGATACCGATATTGCCGATAATGTGAGAAGTGGCGGTGGCCTGGTGCACCGGCAATGAGGGCGCAACAATCAAATGACTGGCAGGAAGCGCACAGTGCTCCCCCTACCAGTCACACAGTGTAGCGTGGCCGGGCAGAGCGGACCACGGTACTGTACCCGGCTGGACTGGCAGGAAGTGCTCTCTCAGTGAGTCAGTCCGGCCGGGTACAGGAAAGTGAAGCTCCTGTACCGTGGTCCGCTCTGCTTGGCCACACTGCAAGAGAGGTAATGAGACACCAGGAAAGGGTAGGGGACACACTAAAGGAGAGGGAGAGAAACACTAAGGGGGGGAGTCAGGGAAGAGTGGGGAGGGGAGAGGATCACTAATGGACTGGGAAGGGAAGGGAAGAGAGAGGAACACTAAGGGAAAGGGAGGGCAGAGGTACACTAAGGGAAAGGGAGGGCAGAGGTACACTAAGGGAAAGGGAGGGGAGAGGTACACTAAGGGACAGGGAGGGGAGAGGACCACTAAGGGAGGGGACACACTAAAGGAGAGGGAGAGAAACACTAAGGGGGGGAGTCAGGGAAGAGTGGGGAGGGGAGAGGATCACTAATGGACTGGGAAGGGAAGGGAAGAGAGAAGAACACTAAGGGACAGGGAGGGGAGAGGTACAATAAGGGACAGGGAGGGGAGAGGTACAATAAGGGACAGGGAGGGGAGAAGTACAATAAGGGACAGGGAGGTGAGGGGAGAGGAGAGGAACACTAAGGGACATGAAAGGGAGGGGAGAGGAACACTAAATATTCTTGAAAACATAAACAAAAAATCTGACTGGCATGTATATTTTGTGCATTACAACTTAATAAAAAAAGATTTGCAAAAAAATAAATAATTAAACATTTTCAGTTAACAGTAGATTGGTGTAGAAATTGTTTCTTTTATCGGCTATTGGCCTGAAATTTCACAGCTTATCAGTATCTGCTCTCGAAAATCAATATTCGTTGATCCCTAGTTTGAAGCACTTCCAATTTTGCAACAAACTAGGAAAAAAATTCCCTCTTGACTCCAGAATGGCAGTCAGATTTATACATGGATCAAGAAGCTATTACCCTACATTGAAACATTATATCCTTGAATATTCTGTTTTTGCAAGTAAACATCTGTACGATAAAACTACTTCTTCAGGCTGATAATTCCATATCCTTATTGTTCTTATGGTAAAAATTTTTTTCCTTTGCCTTAGACTAAATCTTCTTTCTTCCAGTCTAAACGCATGACCTCATGTCCTTTGTTTAGTCCTGTTTGTGAGTAGGTTTCCACACAATGGTTTGTATTGGCCCCGGATAGATATGTATAATGTTATCGTATCCCCTCTGAAGCAATGTTTTTCTAAACTAAAGAGGCTGCTTTGGCCAACACGGACTTGTCGTAGACATAAAAATGGGAATCTTCTGTACGTTTTATTCTCAATGAGGTCTTGAGAAGCAATTAACAATGAAACCAGGTTGACATCCTTGCCATCTAGAAAGTCTTTCTGAAGGGCAGAGGGAACCAGGTGTGCGGGACCCAGAGCTGGAGTGACCAGAGGAGGATAAGTGGGACCAGTGCTGGAACATTCCAATTTTGTAAGTATCACATTGATTGACGGTAGTGAGGACATAATTTTAGCCATCATTCCCTGCACTTCAGCCAGACTGTCTGTACAGCCCCCCTATGATCGGGTACCAGGCCTAGGGTCTTCAGGCTGTGAGCCAGTGCTAGAAAGACAGGAATATCTTAATAAAGTAATTTGACAAATTTAATAATATGAGAATAACAAGCTTGCAATGATACTTAATAACCTCTAGGGAACAACCAACATATGCAACTTACTTAAACTATTTAACCTTAAATTGATTAAAACATGTAGTACTTAAAGGACCACTCTAGGCACCCAGACCACTTCAGCTTAATGAAGTGGTCTGGGTGCCAGGTCCAGCTAGGGTTAACCCATTTTTTCATAAACATAGCAGTTTCAGAGAAACTGTTATGTTTATGAATGGGTTAAGCCTTCCCCCTAATCCTCTAGTGGCTGTCTCATTGACAGCCACTAGAGGCGCTTGCGTGCTTCTCACTGCGCGCTTTAAATGTATGGGTTAGCACTTTGAATTGACTCCTATAGGATACAGGGAGCCAATGTATGGACTGGCAGAGGGGTGAGGTGTGAGAGGACCGACTAGAGAGGAAAACACAGTCTAGTTGCAGCATTCATTACAGACTGTAGCGGGGCAATACGGCTTTTGGGGAGACCAATCAGGAGAGGGTTACAGTAATCCATGCAGGAAATTACTAGAGCATGGACAAGCTCCTTGGTAGCATCTTACGTAAGAAAGGGGCGGATGCGGGCTATGTTTTTGAGTTGGAACCTACAGGAATTGGCAACAAACTGGATGTGAGACTCAAAGGTGAGACCAGAGTCAAGTATGACGCCAAGACAGCGCGCTTGCAGGGATGGACTTATGTGGATATCACTGACTTGAAGGGAGAGCGAGAGAGGAGGATCAGTATTAGGAGGAGGAAAGACAAGGAGTTCAGTTTTAGAGAGGTTACGTTTCAGAAAGCGTGAGGACATCCAGTTAGAGATGGAAGATAGGCAAGCAGTGACACGTTGCAGGACGGCAGGGGAGAGGTCCGGGGAGGAGAGGTATATCTGAGTGTCACCAGCGTACAGGTGGTAGTGGAATCCAAAAGAGGCAATACGTTTACCAAGAGAGGCAGTATAAGGAGAAAATAGAAGGGGACCAAGAACAGAGCCTTGGGGAACTCCAACCGAGACAGGACGAGGGGAAGAGGTATCCTTGGAAAAGGAGACACTGAATGAGCGTTGGGAGAGATAGGAGGAAAACCAAGAGAGGACAGAGTCACAGAGACCGAGCGATTGAAGAGTTTGAAGGAGGAGAGCATGATCAACGGTGTCAAATGCAGCATAGAGGTCAAGGAGAATTAATATGGAGTAGTGACCTTTGGATTTAGCGGAGATTAGGTCATTAGTCACTTTGATAAGAGCAGTCTCAGTAGAGTGGAGAGAGCTGGAATTAAGGAAGTAAGAAACACAGGTAAAGTCAAGTCTTTCCAAAAGCTTTGATGAGAAGGGGAGCAGGGATATGGGACGATAGTTAGAGGGGGAGGATGGATCAAGAGATGTTTTTTTCAGGATAGGTACTACAGTGGCATGTTTAAGGTCAGCAGGAACAGTGCCAGAAGAGAGAGAGCAGTTAAAGATGTGTGAGAAGAAGCCAGCGTCCATAGGAAAGCATTGTGAATGCTTTCCTATGAGACTTGCTGAATGCGCGTGCGGAGAGGAGGAGGAGAGCTCCCCGCCCGGCACTGGAGAAAGTTTAACCCCTTCCTCCCCCTAGAGCCCGGCGGGAGGGGGACCCTGAGGGTGGGGGCACCTTTAATATACACACACACTATCATTCTTTCTAAGTGTATTTTAATAATAATAATAATAATAATAATAATAAAATATATATATATTCGTTGTCAGAAACCATAGCCGATCGTGAATTAGATAACTGTTAGATTCTAATAAGAGTTATATTATAATACTAAAAGTCAGTAGTGGTGTGCCGGTAACCGACGAATGGTTAGGCCTGTAATAAAGAGGGCCCACCAGATTAGAGTGATGTTATTTAAATATTTACCAAAAGGGTGAGGAGGGAGGGCAGCGCTGGAACTCGAGTGCAGGTAAGAGGAGGAGGTCTGGGCTTAAATAGGCTTGATAACTCCTCCCACAACTACGGGCTGACGCCTTTACATTTGTGGTCGGGAACCATAGACAGTTTTGAATTAGATAACTGTTAGATTCTAATAAAAGTTATATTATAATACTAAAAGTCGGTAGTCATGTGCTAGAATCGACAAGTGGTTAGGCCTGTAATAAAGAGGGCCAAAAGATCAGCAATACTATATTAAACCAGATACGATGCTTACAAAGCCATGGTATTAAATGCATTTCTAATTTCCTTTTCTGGACGTGGTATGCACCTGCAATAAGCGGCTGATTTCAAGCGGCCCATTTTTTTGATTATGTGAGTAGGAACATTATCACTGGATGCAGATTAAGCTGCTCCTATGCGGAATGGAGGACCTGGGTAAGAGGTTGGACTAAGCCCCAACCTAACTGGCAGAGTACGCAGGTACAGGATGAACTTGTGCGTTGTTAGTGGTTTACCGTGGTAATTCGAGTAGAGTTGAATCTTTTGATGAGCCTATAAGTGTACTAGGAATCAGTCTAGAACCTTGACTGGTTGTTTTGGCAAGGTCGTGTATTTTTAGGTAATTGCTGTGGGAGAATTTTATGATGGTAAACTCTCTGGGCCTGAGGAAACCGTTGAATGCAAGGTATATGGCTGCTTTAATGATAAGGTTTGTTTGCTGT